CACCTCAACCCCATCTAACACCTCAGTTGCCCTTCCCTAGAGGAAGCATGTTAATGTTGATGGTTTTTGAATGAGACATGTATAATATAAGTCCACTTAATTTGTTCAGGCGTCCACATACTTTTGACCACATAACATAGACAGACCGCCAGTGACTATGCTGTAATCTCTCACATGCAGCCAAACCTTGTTGGATTAGGCCAGATTACAGCGAACAGGCCAGGGCTCACTGAATCACGGCAGTGGTGAAATCCTCCCCATCACCCTGGACATCACCACAAAGTCCGACCACTCTCTCTCTCTCTCTCTCTCTCTCTCTCACTGTTACTTTCTCTTGGTTTTGTGAACGCAGTCGTGATGTCTAGTGAAGTCTAAACAAATCTGATACTTATAAAATGCCTCATCTGAAAGGGAGATACCACAGATCAATACCACTGAGATGCTTCGCCAAGCCTCCACTTGATCAGACCTGCATGTCGTTCAGCTGTTAAAGAAAACAAACTTAACTCCAAAGGAGAGTAGAGACGGAAATCTTTCTGTTTGTTATCTGTGGAATAATTGGAAACTGTTAAATTTGAGTTTCAACGTTTGTTCTTGAGCTCGGAAAGTGCTGCTGACATAACAATCTTACTGTAAGGGCTGTTTAGTAGGCTGCAGTGTTTACAACCCACTGTGTTTTTTATCTAAATATCACACATTGCCTAATACGCTGTATTATTCACTGTTCATCCATATATAAAAACCCACACAGTAATTGAAAGTGATTCAAGGAGGTTGTCCTGTGTTGAGATTTCTGAGATGATATATACAGTCGGTGTGTTTTCACTCAGATGCTTCACTGAACTCAACCTCAGTCAAGTGATCAAACAAGCGACTACGATTGGTTGCACAAAGTGTTTTATAAAACATTTTTGTTTAGCTGTGTATTTAAAATCGGAATGTTTCTGCTACATTATCACTCTGTGTTGAGGTCAGTGTGCACCATGTAGAAGAAGTCATTCTGCCTTGTTGATACATTTGCAGCGTACAGCTCCCTCCTGTGGTAAACACTGGCAACCTGAATTCATTATAGGGTCAAATTAATGTTTCGTCTGTAGTCTTCTTCATTACTGCCTGTCTACAGATGTGGGGGTATTTTGCACAGTGAAATTTAATCTCACATTTTAAAAAATCAGCCTGATTTAGAATTCATGTCGACCTTGAATGCAAATTTGGCACGTGGCCCACCTTTTTAAGATAATCAGAATCAGTATAGGTTTATTGCCAAGTAAGTTTTTACACCTAGGAGGAACTTGTCTTGGTGCATTGGTGCATAAAATATACAAATCACACAAAAATCACACAAGAATAGAGTACTTTTAAAATAGATAAATAAAGATAAGAAAGATAAG